ATCGATTTCTTTCGCACCACGGATCAGTTCCTAAAAGGTCGTTCCAATGTGATCTCAGAAGTCAAGCATGATGATGTTATACATCCAAATAATTGAGTTCTCTCCCTTGCATTCCATTACTAGCTCATCAGTACCATCAGTTTTCAATTTGTTCTCTGGAGAGTCGAGTTAAGCCTATTTGTTGACTTAGTCCACAAAATCCTTTATGGTGGGCAGGTTATTGAGGCTGGAGCTAATGCTTTGGTTGCTGGTTCTGCTGTTTTTGGAGCCAAAGATTACGCTGAAGGTATGATTGTATTAGCGAGCAAGTTCATTTTTCATCTTACCTTCTTATTTGTTTTATGTCTCAAGTTCTTCAACACTTAACAATGGTAGTCTGCATTCTGCACAATTGGGATTTTTTTATAGCTATAAAAGGAATCAAAACTAGCACAAGGCCAGTTGCAGTACCAGCATGAAGTGGGATCGCCTGAATCAACTTGATTGGTTACTGCTGGGAAGCTTCTCTGTGTTTGCACGTAGGTTACACTTCCGTTTGTTCTTCAGAGGGCTGGAATCTCTGATCGGCTTCAAGTTTGTCGCCTTCTGTTCATATTGCTGATTGAGTCGGTGTATAGTGATAGAACCATTATGAGAGATTTTTAATCAAAAGCCATGGTGGTCATTTTTCTATTTGCAGATAATACGCACAACACAGATATAGGTGGCAGATTATTCCTATCCCCCCTTTGGTGTTAGATGATCAATTGTCCGCTGGCCTGGTTCCATGGTGAGCGACAGCTAGAATAAAAAAGCAGAAAGACAACTTGTTGGCAATAATTCGTGCCGCAAGGTATATTTGTTTTGTATCGTTTTCGTAGCCTTGTCCAGTCCTCAGTTGCTGCATATTTCATGTCGCTCTGCTACTTAAACAATACAAGTTTCTATTGGCTTCTGTCATACTCTTGTTTTGACTTGAAATTCAAGAGACAGACGGGAAAATTAACGACAACATAAACCAGTATTGGTTCAAACCAACGGTGTGAAATGCAGCTTTGACAGGCACATTTTGCGTTGTGGTCTTGAGCAGGTAGACACAGTTTAAACTGTCTGCATCAACCATACGAGTAGTGCTGACAGCTACATCTATAACATGCGATAAGAGGGTACTAACAATTATATTGATGAAGCAGAGTGTCAGATCCCGGGACACAGTAATGCTGCCGCAAGCAAAGCTTCAACAACTCATTGATGGAAAATACAAATCTAGTTGCAGTTACAAGCAAACTCAACCTTCATTATTACTCCAGCGCTATCTCCCACCATATATATATAGACATACAAAAAAGGAAGGATATTTACAGGAAAGCAAAGTAAAGCAAGCAAGCTAAACTATACATCCTGGCGGCAAACAGGGCAAGAGCCATGCCTTACGAGCCACTTATCCACACAGCCCATATGGAACGTGTGTTGACATTTAGGCAAACTTCGAGCCATCTCTCCTTTCCCGATATCCTGATGATAAAAGCCAGAGAGAGCAACGAATAACCAAAACAGGGCACGGATTAATAGCGCAACCAGCCACATTACACACTGTCAAAGTTTAACAAATGGAAAGGCAATGAAGGGCGGACCTGGAGGCATATGGTGCAGAATACAGTTTGCATCGCTTTGATTTCATGACACGGCAGCTTGTCAAGAAACTCTCCAGATAACCCTCTGGGTACCACTTCCCCATACACGTCGTTCGTCTCTTCATTGCTTATGTTGGTTACGCTCAACTGCTGATCACACACCACACCGCACCAACAAGGATATTTTACTCATTTTGTCATTCGAAATAATTGGCAGGCAAAGCAAAGTTTACTGAATCTGAACCCACGAACAAGTCTGGCACAGGCAGAGTCATGGAAGTGGAAAACAACAAAACACAAACGGGGCAAAATCACCCAGCCCAACTTCATATGTGTGCGTGTCTCTAGAACTAACAATGCGGAAGGGTAAAAGGCATAAAAACAAGTTAAAGGGAGTAAGCAGTAAGTTACCTGCCAATGGTAAGCAGTTAACATGGCTGGTGTAAGCTCATGATCAATAAACCTCCCCCGGAAAAGCTCCTCTATGAAATCTGCCTGCAACCCACCAGCACCAAGACAGCCATTTACACAATCAATAACAATTTTATATGTATAATAAAACGCTGGCAAAGACCAGCCCAACAGTACCACTAAACAGAAAACTCAAATCAGTGATCACCATGGAGGATGGCCCTCGGGAACCAGACTGTTCCAAACCCCAGTAAGCGCGAGAAGCCTCCAACACCTCAACAGAAAGCACTGCACCAGCAACTGCACCCAGCCCAGCTCCCCGAAGTACTCCACAATCTGAGGCTCGACCAGCAAAAGCACCTGTGATTGCTCCTGTACAAGCTCCAGCTACACCAACCCAAACCCAAACACCACCATCGTCAGTAATAGGCCAATGAATGGAACCCAGAAGGAAAGAAAGAAAGAAAGGGGGGGGGGGGGGGGGGGGGGGGGGGGGGGGGGGGGGGGGGGGAATGACGAGGAGGCAGCCCGGAACTACCTAAAGCGAAAATCCCCGTCAGCGCACCAGAGATGGCTCCAGCCACCAACTTGGGAACGCAATCGAGCACTCGATTCCCCTGGTATTCAACTACGCCGCCTTCCATCACCGTCCAATACTGCCCCTCACCCGCCTCGCCGCCGCTAGTGCGTCCGCATACGCCGCAGGACTCCTCCGACCCGCTAACAAACTGGCTACTGCTACAGTTGTTGCAACCAGTCGCAACATCCATCATGAGAATAGAAACACACACCCTCCCTCCCAACAGAGGTAGAAAATATGAAAAGGGAACAAAAACAAACCAAGTGACAGAAAGACCAAATATGAAAGAACCCTAATTTTGTCAAATCAACAAGGTTCGAAACTGAGATTAGAATTTGTGGATTAGAAGCTATTGGAATGGAGAGTAGGATCGGGATAAGGGGGAAATTGGAGGGTCGACAGAGAATTTCGAGACTCCGCTCTGGCGGTAGCCGGTTGGGAAGAGGGTCATTCTATTCGATATAATGATTTCTGTTGTGCCCTACATACTAAACACAGAAACCAACCAGCGCTGTCAAAAGTCGTGAACCAGCGGAAATGAAAAGAAAAAAAACAAAGACTTTAACTGCGGCTGCCGGGTCGATGCACAGATGCGATGAAAGTTTGTTGAATCGTCGGTTAAAGATTTCAGCTAACTTTTGTGGCGGGTAAATAATGACCCCATTTCCTCTTTCCTTTAGCCAACAAATCATGTAAACATGGGAGGGGTTATAAAAATTTGACCTTTAGCTATAAAGTAATACTTTATACGAAACTGTGATTTAATTATAGTTCAATCGTTTCATATCATTAAAATTTGTCTGTCGATTTAGTTTCCAATTAAAGATTTTCTCGATCGGACTTTTCAATGCGATACAATTTTAATTGATAGTTGTAGTTAAGAAGATGCTTCCTCTTTCTTTGTTTCATTTTCATCCTCGTGAATCAAGCACGCTTTGCTCATGATTTGTATACGAAAAGAACAATTGTCTTATTAACCACCATAGGAAGTTACATTCTTAACCATCTAAAATATTTATAAATTAATAATTACATTCTTCTAGTTAGCTAGAGAGCCCGATACGGGTGTGAAATGGCGGTTGGTAGGTTTTGGTCTCTTACTAGCTCTTACTAACACTCCAACCAGTGGTCAAATGAAACCACATATCAGGGAATAGTATAGTGGAATGAAATCTTAATGTCAATTCAAGGCCCTAGATATACTATTACTCGGTGAACTGTCTATTATCTAGCAAACATGTTGTAATGCCGATTACTAAAATTAAAGTAACAAAGCAAGAAACTTTATTCTAATTCAGATGTGAGAAGATCGCTCAGGTATGTTTCCCCCTAATCCTTAGTTATGCCGACGTTGTTTGCTCCCTAATTATTTCACTTGATACTTAAATAGTAAAAAGTTTGAAATTAGTTTAGAATATCGATTAAAGCAGACTAGGCCCTCTTGAATAGACTACCCGACAAAAAATTATCCTCAACCGGAATAGAAAATCAAGGAAATACAAAAAGACTCCCTCTTCTGGATTGAAATCCAGTAAAGAATAGTGAATCGATTTACTATTTGCGCAATCAATTCACCACCACCAATTGATGGCACTCTATGAACGTAATAAGATGTTCTCTCTCACATCGTCGCCTTTTCGAAATTCCTTTGGCCACCTTTTGCTTTCCTCCATTCGTTATCGTATTTTCTGGAAACTGTTCTCCAAACCCTGATATCTAGAAGCCCATCAAACAAAAAAGACACACTCCTTTGCTCTGTCCTCTCTCTTGTTTGAATTAGGCTTTTTCCTACCGTTGTGCTTCCCAGAGCCCTTCTGGATGCTGATCTCCCTCCCAAGTGAGATGATTTGTTAACCTTCTTGACCGATTTGTTGGTGTAGAAGATGTTTAATGCTGCCTCCAGGGTGAGAAGTGTGTGTTTGCTGAGTAAATGCGATTGAGAGGGATGCTGGTTAGTCCAAGGCAGCTGGGTGGGTACAGACTTGACTCGACAACTGCAAAAAAAGGAGATTTGGATCATTGAATACTATATGTATTGGGTGGAAGGGAGTTATTGCTACTCTGAGTTCAAAAGAACAAAGCTACCAAATGCAGATACAAGTCTCCTCAAGCCTCCATTAATGAGGATGGTTGGGTGTTTTGAGCTGTTCAGAGCTGCAGAAACAGCTAAGAGATCTAAGGATTCTAGAATAGTCATAAAACCTTGTCCAATCAAGCCAACAACTGTATTGAATGAAGAAGTGGGGGTAGATAGGAAAAGAAGGAGGATTATAAAAAGGGACACTCTGCTCTGGTTCAGAAGAGCCTCAACACACATCAATCCTCTCTGTTCTGAGCTACCTAAAACCTCTCGTTGTCTTGTGCGAGCTGAACCTGCAAAGGAAACCACTAAGAAAATGAGTGTTAACGATCTGATCAATCAAGCTGGAGAGTGGGATCTCGAAATGGTGCCGGATGAAGGGAGGCTAACCAATCGCTTCTCTCTGGTTGTCAAAGTATTCTCTGAGCGAAGTGTTAGTCTAAGGGCAGTGAGGGGTATGATTCGAGCTGCTTGGGTGGATAACCCCAAGCCAAGAGTTCAAGAAATGCCAAACATCCAACCTGTCTATGAAAACGTGTTCACTCTTGATTTTGAGAAGCAAGAAGAGATGGAGGCAATATGGCTTGAACGACCCTGCCATGTTTCTGGTACACTGATGCAAATGAAGAAGTTATCTGGCCTGGAGACAGCAAGAGATATCAGCTTCAAGATGGTGGATTTCTGGGTGCAAATCCATAATCTCCCAGAGGCGTACAGAACTGAGAGCAACATAGCAATGGTGAGCAGAATGTTCCACCAAGTCATAGATATCGATCGTGCAGCCCTACAAGCACAGATGTACAGGAAGTATGTGAGGGTTTTTGTCCAGGTTGACACCTCGAGACCAATCCCTGATGGATTTTACATCCGCCAACAACAAAAGAGGATTTGGGTTGAATTCAAGTATGAAAAGTTGTTCTCGTTGTGCTATTACTGTGGGGGAATAGAGCATACCAGGCTGGAGTGCGATCGGAGAAGAGCAGATGAGGAGAATGGGGCGCCGATTCCAGAGATCCAAAGATGGGGACCGTGGACGAGGGCCAACTCACCGCTATTCTCGCCCAGGACAAACCAGCAACAGGAGGCTGAAGTTGTTGTGATCAGGGATGCAGCTTCGACCTCTAATTCCCCAGGTGGTGGCCAGACTCAATCGCCGAAGACCGCTTCGACTGGAGCAATCGACCAAAGCAAGCAGCCGGCGACCGCTTCGACTGGAGCAATCGACCAAAACAGACAGCTGGTCCCACATGCTTTTGGGACGCCGCCGGGTACAAATCAATCACCTATATCTAGCTTTGATCAGAACTATTCCCTATCCCCTCAAACAGGTCTATTCCCTACCCAAAACTTTTTCTCACCAGTTCCTCAAAGCTTTCCACTCTTTTCCCAGAACCTTCCTCTGTTTGCTTCCCCGCCCCAAGGAGAGGGAGTTGCTAGAAATCTGTTCGGCTTCCCTCAATCCCCAGTGTTACCTTTCCCCCATACCCAAAATACGACCCCACAGATCCATCATGTGGGCTTCGGACTGCCCAGCCCAAACCCGCCTCCTATTCAAGCCCAGACCCACTTCACATTTAACCATCATTTCTTCCTCCCCAGCCCAAGTCGAGCCCAAACCCCTACTCGACACTTAGCAATCAACCAGGACCATAAAAATCGTAATATTACCCCAAGAACCTAGAAAAAGAAGAGGAAGACAACCCTTCATAGTGATGAATACAGGAATCAAGAGGCAGGGGTTTCTCAAGCCATTAGAAGAGGTACAAGGGATTTTGAAGACGATGATGATGCTGAGATCCCGCCGGGATTTGAACCAAATGTTGCTGTGGAAATGGTGGCCGATTCCAAGCCACCGGGGGCCCCATGAATGCTTTAGTTTGGAACTGTCGGGGATTTGGGCAGACCCCTACAGTTCGGCAACTGAGGAAATTGGTGAGAAAACACCATCCATCTTTCCTATTTCTGTCTGAAACAAAGAAGGAAGAATCTTATATGAAGACTAAGAGAAGAAGTATGAGGTTTGCTGATGCGTTCCATGTCAACCCGATCAACAGTGCAGGAGGTCTTGCTCTATGGTGGGTGGAGGGGTTACCCATCACAATCCTTGATAGTAATAGATATTTTATTGATGCTTTTGTTGATGTTAGTGGGGGTTTCTATATAACCTTTGTTCATGCCCCGTCTGATCCTACTCGGCGTAGGGATTTTTGGGATCAGATCACTAATCTTAGGGCTAGTGTTGACGATAAGTGGGTAGTTATTGGGGACATGAATGCTGTTTTGTTTTCGGAGGAAAAAAAGGGTGGGAATGAACCTCGAAATGTGTCCACTATACCTTTTAGATCTTTTGTTTCCGTGAATGGATTAATGGATTTGGGATTTAAGGGCTACCCTTTCACGTGGAAGAACAATCAAGAGGGGATGAGACGGATTGAGGAGAGACTTGATCGGGGCCTTTGCTCTACGTCGTGGTTTTCCAAGTACACCAATGCCTTGATTGTTCATGAGCTTCCTATTGAGTCTGACCATTGCCCTCTTCGACTGGAGTTTGAAGGGATTCGTACTTGTAAAAGAACTCCGTTTAGGTTTGATACCCGATGGTTTCAGAAGGAGGAGTGCTTTGAGATTGTGAACCGTATTTGGGATAGTGGAGGCTTCTGTCATGACAAGTTACATAAGTGTGAGAAGGAGCTCTCCAAGTGGGCTAAACAAATGTTCAAAGATCAAAATAAAAGGGCTGATGATATTCAAAAGAGATTGAGTGATATTCTGCTGCTGGATCGATCCGATGAGATTGTTGAAGAGGAGAGAGGACTTTTGGATGAACTCGCTGCTATCTGGAAAGATGACGAACTGTTTTGGAGCCAAAGAGCTAGTGTTGAGTGGCTTAAAGTGGGGGACCAGAATAATAAAATTTTTCATGCTTCTACTACTCTTCGGAAGCATAGAAACAAAATTTCAGCTCTGAAGGATGAAGATGGAAATGTGATTTCACAGCCTATTGCTCTGTTTGCTCATGTTACTGGCTTTTATCAGTCTCTGTTTAAGAAGAAAGATGGCATCAGTTTTGAAGCTCTTCGGGACTTTCCGAAGCTGGTTTCCAATGATATGAATCTTGACCTCGAAAGAGAGCCAACTGTGGAGGAGATTCGAATTGCGGTTTTCGACCTTGGTCCTTCAAAGTCACCAGGTCCCGATGGGTTTGCTGGTTCCTTTTATCTCAAGTTTTGGAGCAAAGTCGGTCAGGACTTCTGTAATGAAGTGATTCGATTCTTCAGAACCTCTATCATGCCACAAGGGTGGAATGACACTCATATTGCCCTTATCCCTAAGGTTCTTGCTCCAGAGATGATCACTCAATACCGACCCATCAGTTGCTGCAATTTTAGATACAAAATTATTTCAAAAATCATTTATTCTCGGATGAAGAAATGGTTGCCTGGGTTAGTATCTGAAATGCAAGCAGCGTTTACAGGAGGGAGACTCATTCAAGATAATGTTATTATTGTTCATGAGATGCTGCATAACTTCAAGAATCGTCGATATGGTGATTGAGACATGATGGTGAAGTTGGATATGCGAAAAGCATATGACCTTGTTGACTGGGACGGACTGGACTTTGTTCTACAGGCTTATGGGTTTTCGGATAAGTGGCGAGGCTGGATTCGAGCATGTATCAGGGCAGTCAAATTTTCCATTCTTCTTAATGGAAGCCCTTCTGATTCTTTCTCTCCGTCCCGGGGCATTAGACAAGGTGATCCCATTTCCCCATTTCTGTTTATACTTATGTCTAATGCGTTATCTTTCTTGATTGAAAAAGGGATCTCTCGTGGAGAGATTAGAGGCATCAAGCTCAACCAAAGCTGCCCAAGAATCTCTCACTGCTTGTTTGCGGATGACACAGTCATCTTCGGCAAAGCTAGTGTCTTGGAAGCTGATCGAATTATGGATATAATACAGATTTATGGAGATTTTACTGGTCAAGAGATCAATGCTTCTAAGTCCTCTATCTTTTTCAGCAAGAATACCCCCCAGGGGATTCGATCTTTGGTGAGTGCTAAGTTCGGTTTCCCCCCTTCGGTTTGCCACGACAAGTACTTGGGAGTTCCATCTGAATGGGGTCGATCTAAAAAGGAAACTTTTCTCTTCCTTCTGGAGCGTATGGAAAAACAAGGTGAGTCTTGGAAGAGTCTCATGTTATCCCCCGGAGGCAAAGAAGTACTTCTAAAGGCAGTGATCCAAGCTCTGCCGACCTACATCATGAGCGTCTTCTTGCTTCCTCTGAACCTAACGAACAAAATGGACTCGATTCTGAAACGCTTTTTCTGGTCGGGTTCCATGAAAAGGAAGGCGATTCATTGGTGCGATGCAAGGGTGTTGGAAAAACCTAAGGATGAAGGAGGATTGGGTTTCAAGAATTTCCACCTTTTCAACCTTGCGCTTATTGGGAAACAGGTATGGCGTCTTCTCGATAACCCGGATGCCTTGTGGGCTAAGCTTTTGAAGGGACTCTATTTTTCCAATGGGGACCTGCTTTCGGCAGTCAAGGGGAGAAAGAGCTCATGGATCTGGAATGGTTTTTGTGAGGCCAAGGAGCATATGAAGGCGGGTCTGTTGAAAGGAATTATGTCAGGAGAGGATTCATTGTTCCATTGTGACCCTTGGGTGCCTTCCGTTCAAAATTTCAGCTTAGCTCATCTGGACCTGGAACCGTCACGAGTCAGTGATTGGATTGATCAAAGTAATCGCAGTTGGAACATGAATGCTATCAGGAATCTTGTGCCTGATGAGATTGCCCATGCTATTGCTCGAGTTCCGATTGGTCCTCGTTTCTCGCAAGATAGGTGGATTTGGAGGTTTACGGACTCTGGTAGCTACAGTATGAAGTATGCCTACCGGTTGTTTCGGGAGGTGATAGATTCTTCCCCTTCGACAGATGAGGTCCCCTCTTCAAGACCGAACAAGGACGACTGGAAATGGCTTTGGGATCTCAACTTGCCCCCTAAACTTCGGTTTTTCGTATGGAAGTGTGGTAGGAATGCAATTGCAACACGGGCGAGGCTGTTTGAACGCAAGTGTGCTCTTTGCCCTCTGTGCCCGCTGTGTGATGAGAATGCTGAAACCATTATGCACTGCTTGTTCTATTGCCCCAAGGCATGTGAGACTTGGTCTCGGCTTGGCCTGGTGGATTTTTTCCCTGTTGCGGACTCCAGTTTTGCTGATTGGTTCTTCAATCTCAGGGATAGATCATCAACGGACCAGATTTGCAAGATTGTGTGTACGATGTGGAATGTCTGGATTGCTCGTAATGGAATGGTATTTGAAGGAAAGGTGTTCTCCCCGCCTACTGTGGCAATTCTTGCTGATCGAGATTCTCAAAGGGTTAAGGAAGCGTGGACTTCGGGCACGACTTCCCCTTCTTCCGGATCAGTCGGTTTGCCTTCTCAGTCTGGGAGTTCTCGATCGACGACCTTATCACCGCCTGGTCCTTATAGTAAGGTTGTGCATTGTGATGGTTCCTTTGTCTCTGATGCACAGGTGGCGGCTTATGGGATTGCTATTGCTAATTCCCACGGTCAGGTTATCGACGGGAAAGCTGAGAGATTCTTTTGTTCTTCTCCGATTCAAGCGAAAGCTGTTGCAATTCTTAATGCAGTTATTTTGGCAGCCGTGGATCCAGTCCCAACGTGTGTCCGATCTGATTGCCAGAGATTGACGATTGCGTTGACTCAGGATCCGAGCCTTTGGCCTTGGCAATGCCGGGCAAATCTTGCCCGGATTGTTTCCATTCTCTGTATCTCCCCTTGGATCGTGGTTGAGTTTGTTCCCCGTCGATTTAATGCCTTTGCGGATTGGATTGCGAGAAACGCTCGGCTTGATCTCCTTCCTCCTGAATGGATTGTCATTGTTGATCTTGTCGCTCCATTATTGTAATTTTATTGCTTCCCACTTGTGTGGGTTTGGAATGAAATGATGATTGTTGTTGTCAAAAAAAAAAAAAAAAGATTCAAATAATTTCATGAACAAAACTTCCATTGGATAAATTGTATCAAGGTTCACAAACCAATGAGCCAAGAAAATCAATTATAACACATGGAACTAGGGTTCTTCATACCCAAGTGAGAGAGTAGGTTACTCCATAGAGAGAGAGAGAGAGAGAGAGGGGGGGGGGGGGGGGGAAGCAAGGCTCAAAGTAGTCATGCTCATAAAAATGATAACGACTTGGTCCGAGATGTCAATCATCACTCCGAGGGATGAGATCCGAGCGCCAATGGTTGATTGAGGACTCAAATTAGCTCTAACGAGTGTTTCTCCATCACTTTCTCTCTCTAGAAATTTGTTTCAGGTGTCGAAAGTCAGATCCCCTTCTAAAATCCCGAAATAAGCTATAAAACCCACAACTAGGTAGAACCCGAACACAAAATACGACTGTGTTCCAGCCCATGTTCGTGTTTCTTCAGCACGCACCGTTTTCATTAAAGGATCTTGAGGGTGAAACACGGTCAGTCCTCTAGATGGAACACGACCGTATTTTCCGATGTAGTATTCAAGAGATAAATGGCTAGAGGTGTCTAGTGTCGTATTCCACATGGTCTTTTAATAGTAACTACTCAAACCTAACCAATTGTATTCGATGTATGCAATGCAAGAAATTAAACCTAGATGGGGTTAGGTGCCCTT